AAGGTACGTTTCAACCACCGGAGGGACTTTGATGGACCGTGGGACGTCGAAGCATCAACGACTGGTCCTGCAGCGGAAGTCTCGATTGCACTTGAGGCACGGGCAATTCGTTCAGGGAACTGTCTGAAGATGCCTGGAGTCGGGAAGTTTCGGTCAGCAGCGGCTGGATTCTGAGCCACATGCCACCTGGTGCCGGAATGACATGATGAGTCCTTATGATCCCCACTAGTCCTGGTGCTGCTCAAGATGGCGCGTTCCCGCCTGCCTGAATCAGTGGCACGATCACTGTCACTCTGATGCTCATCAGGTCTGCCCAGCCCGAGCTCCTGTAGAGGGTTGCGGTACAAACCCTGGACAGGCTATGGATGTCCGCATCAGACAAAGGATGCTGAACTTGTCAGATCCACCTGGGCCGACAGCCTTTGCCCTGCACCTGCTTGAGGAACTAAACCAGGCACTCCGCAATGCCGCAACTTACGAGTATCATTGCGTAAGACATGAGGGACAGTTTTCCGCCCGAACGAGAGCCAGGCGCCGAGCAGACCTTTGCCAGAGGCTGCTGAGAGCGCTGCCGAAATGGTCCTCCAAGCACCGACCTCCGAGTTACCTGCGCTCAGCGATTCTGAAGCTGAATGCCCAAGGCCTTCACCTCTCCTGAGGATCATCGCGCTTTGAGTATTGCGATGAACATTGCGGCTAGAGCACTACCCGGAAACCGTTGGCGTTTCAAGGACGGGTCGCACGGAAGAGCAGTAATTACTTAAATTGTCTTGCGCGGCATCGGATGTTGAAACGAGGAGGCAAGCTTGCGAAGCTTGATGCGCTTGGGTGCAGATTCCCGCGCCATCGTGGCTGCCCGGCGAGCGGAATTGAGGCACGAAGCACTTTTCTGCAGCCTCGACAGTCACTGCAAGGCTTTGCTTTTGCACGATTTGGATGAATGCCTTGGACAACCATGGGCCGCAGTCTCCAAGGTCTGCGTTCGATGCTTCAGACAGATCCAGACTTTTTTGAAGCGGCTTGGTTGTCTGATTCCACAAGTCCTGCGCCAGGTTTTTGCTGCCTGTCCTGAACTCGGGGAGGAGGTTGTCAACCTGATCGATGAGAAAAAGAGGCGGCATCACTTGCCAGCGTGGTTCCGCGCAGCCACCTTTTGCTTTAAGCCTGAAATTGGCACAGGTTGGAACAGCTTGCCCTGCTTCTGTATCTGCGTGCGCTTTCGGAGGACTGCAGACAGAGAGTGTCGATTTACAGACTTACTTCGCCTGCTGCCACGCAGGACAGCACAACTCATCACGGGCAGGCGGGTCCGTATCGGAAAGCCCACTACCGGAATGCAATTTGGGGTCCAGGTGTAGCATTCATCATTCGAACGTAGGACAGTTGCACACCGCGTTTGACTCAGCCATGAAGCGCAGGTGCAGCTTGCTGCCTCGCAGCTCTCCCGCCTCCTCTACTTGCGCTGCTCCAAGGACGGCAGAGGGACCAGCTGACTGAGCCGTGAGTCACCGGTGCTCTGATAGGACTTCCGAGCTGCAATGGTTGAGATTGCAGAGGCGAATGTGTCTCAGCCCGTAGCTCATCTCTCCCCTCTCGGATTCGGCGTCGGAGGTGGAGCAGATTCTCCGAAATCTCTCCGCTGCGGTGGCCAGCAGATTCGGTCTTCCCGACGAGGGCCGGGCCTTGGCTCGCTGCGCTCCTCGGTTTGAAACCAAACGCCGGCTCAGCTCCCTGAGCTCCCCTTAAGCGCGCCTTGATGATTGATGTGTGATATCTGCACGCGCGCGCGCGCGCGGGGAGTCTTCTCCTGCCAGAGCTGCAGCCGGAGGCTTTGGACTTGCACGTGCCCCTGGCCCACGGCCTGGGCTTCGATGCCCTGGCAGCTCAGCCTTGCAAGATCTCGGAGAGGCACCGCGGGAACCGGAGGCTCTCCCGCCCAGGCCCACAACGGCAGCGTCAACGAGCGCATCACTCCGTCGCTGGAAAACCGCGCCTTGCGGCTCTATTTCCCAGAAGAGTACAGCATGATCGAGGCAGGAACATAGAAGAGCCTGCTCCTGCTAGGGGCTTACAAAGGTCGTTTTCAAGCTTTCGAGTCCCCTCGGATCCCCTCGACCACTTGTCATGCCTGCGACATCCTACCATGGGGTGAGGGATAACTGGCGACCATGCTAAACTAAACAGTTGCATCTCAGAAATGGGCTGGACTTCCAGATTTCTATCATCTACTATGGCGTTTTGGCACCTGATGTAGTAGAAGCGAGAAAGTTGGAACATGGTTTTAGGAGGATTAGTGCTAGGATCCCTTATTCTTTACCTTAAGGGCATGGGGATAATGATGTTCCAACTCTCTGGCTTCTGCTATATCCCATAACCGGGCTTCCCAACACAGGTCCCATCCGGCCCATGCCGTGAAGAAATGCACTTGGGGAGGGGGGCTTTCTGGGACAGACGAATCTCATTAGGAATCTCCTGAAGTCAACGCAGTGTGTGGATAAGTTCCAAGATGTTTCCCGAAGAGGCATGACAATGCCAAGCCTTTCTCCATCTTTCTCCTTTGTTGTCTCCCTTCTTGCCGTTGGCCTTGCAAATGGATCGAGGGCTGTGTCCAGTTCCAGACCTTGGCACTTTTCTCTTGGCATGCTTCTCGTTGCCTGTGGTTTCGTAGCTGGCTCCTGCTTAAAAGCTAGCCGTTGTGAAACAGCTCCTGAACTCGGAGGCATGGATGCGAGAAGAAGACGAGCTCTTGAATCGAACACTTCAGAGATGCCTCCGCGAAGTTCGAAGAGCTTTGGACGCAGATGCAGACGTGCGGGGTCTCGCTACATGCAAGGCCAGGCGGGTGTTTCAAGCTGAAAAGCAACGCTCCGCTGTACCCCGACATCCCCGACCGAACAACCTGACAGCGGACTCGGATTGCAGGTTCGAGGCCGCGTGAAGAGTGTGTACAGCATTGTGAAGAAGCTACTCCGGCAACGTGGGGTTTCTCGAGAAGATCTGAAAGCTCAGGCCATCAAGGCCTGACAGCTTCCAAAGTGGCAGAGTCGGATGAAGCCTCCTCCAAAGCATTGCCAACTATAGTACATGCTGTCAGCGCATTTCGTGGTGTAGATAAGTCCAGTCAAATAGCGTCAGGACTTGCTTGCCGTGGAAGTGGTTGTGGATCCCGACCCGCTGGCAGAGGTGCGCCTCGGATTAGCGCAGCATGTGCGAAGTCATGGAGGCAGCATCTGAGGTCCCTCAAAATCCGGAGTGGCTGGCGGAAGAGTGGCGAGAACGAGCTGCGTGCTTTGCGGTTTTGGATGCACTGCAGCGCTATGCGAGAACGACCAAAGGATGGTCTGTGCTGCCTGGATCGACGAAGGAAAGACGAGCTTAACATCCGAAAATCTCATTTCAGTTGTGCATGTTGAAGTTGCACCTGGTGTGAAACTTTGTGTGCGCCAGCATCTCCAATACATTTTGAGTGAATGTCGCACCCTGACGAGGACTACATCACCAAATCCAAGAAGAGTGGATACCGTGCTCTTCACATAACGCTGTGCACCAATGCTTGAAGCTTATTCACGCCCGTTTTGCTAGAGGTGGTTGTGGTGATGCTGGTGGTGGTGGTGGTGGTGGTGGTGGTGGAGTATAGTAGTTGCAAATGTGAAAGTAGTAGTTGTACTGTAGCAGGAGTCGGAGTCGTAGCAAAAGCACCGGAGCAGCAGGAGCAGGAGCAGCAGCAGTAGCAGTAGCAGTGGTTATCGTTGTCGTCGTTGTTGCGGTCATGGTCGTAGTCGTAGTCGTGGTAGGGTCTAGAATCAGTAGTAGTAGAAATAAGAATAACAATAATAGTAGTAGTAGTAGTAGTAGTCGTCGTAGCAGTAGTAGTAGTAGTAGTAGTAGTAGTCGTCGTAGCAGTAGTAGTAGTAGTAGTAGTAGTAGCAGTAGCAGTAGCAGTGGCAGTGGCAGTGGCCGTGGCAGTGGCAGTGGCAGTAGTAGTAGTCGTAGCAGCAGTAGTAGTAGTAGCAGTAGTAGTAGTAGAACTAGCAGTGGTAGCAGTAGTAATAGTAGTAGTAGTAGTAGTAGTAGTAGTAGCAGTAGTAGTAGTAGCAGTGGTAAATTAGTAATAGTAGTAGTAGCGGTAGTAGTAGTAGTTGTAGTAGTAGTTGTAGTAGTAGTAGTAGTGGCAGTAGTAGTAGTGGCAGTAGTAGTAGTGGCAGTAGTAGTAGTAGTAGTAGTAGTAGTAGTAGTAGTAGTAGTAGTGGTAGTGGTAGTGGTAGTGGTAGTAGTGGTAGTAGTGGTAGTAGTGGTAGTAGTGGTAGTAGTGGTAGTAGTAGTGGTGGTAGTAGTAGTAGTAGTAGGAATTATTAGTAGTCAGAAGTTAGAAGTTAGTAGCCAAAAAAGCGGTAACTGGTAAGCAGTAAGTAGAAAGTAGTAAGTTCTAAGTACTAAGAACTGAGAAGTAAATAGCAGGTAGTAGTAGTTGCAGTCGTAGTCGTAGTCGTAGTAGTAGTAGTAGTAGTAGTAGCAGCAGCAGCAGGAGTAGTAGTAGTAGTAGTAGTAGTAGTAGTAGTAGTAGTAGTACTAGTAGTAGTAGTAGTAGTAGTAGTAGTAGTAGTAGTAGTAGTAGTAGTAGTAGTGGCAGTGGTAGTTGTAGTGGTAGTGGTAGCAGTAGCAGTGGTAGTAGTAGTAGTAGTAGTAGCAGTAGTAGTCGTCGTTGCAGCAGCAGCAGCAGTAGCAGGAGGAGGAGTAGTAGTAGTAGTGGTGGTAGTAGTAGTAGTATCAGTAGAAGTAGAAGTAGTAGCAGCAGAACAGAAGCAGAAGACGTGGAGCAGGAGGAGTAGAAGTAGGAGGCGAGAAGGAGTAAGTAGGAGTAGGAGGCAGAGGCGTGCAGCCATCAAAGAGCGATTGTGTATACAGTTGCATTTGCTACTGTACTCACGAAGTGAAGGCTGTTCTTGTTCTGCTGCGCGGAATTTTCCTTTCAAGCACGCATGCGCAAGGTTACAACGCAAATGCCAAAGGCATCCAGCCGAGCAATCGGGCAGCTGCGGACAGTGGACACAATGACATGTAAGTTGGAGGCCGGCAAATGCAAGTTTGCCTGCCGATTGCCTTGCCTTGCTAATCACCACTGCGACTCAGTGAAACATCGTACCAGGTACATGTCTTTTCCGGATCCATGAAGCAGAAGGAACGCAAGGGGCTAGCGTCCCACCATCTCTACAAGGCAGTCGTCACAGATCTCAGACTTCGTTCGCAGAAGACGCTTGCATGTGAAGGCGTTTGAACTGGGCCCTGATGAAATCTTTGCATCGCTTGGAGGACGGGCAGCCCGGAACCCAGAAGGGTTTCGTAGCCTCGTTCGTCATCGTTTTGCATTACGAGATCTGTGCGTTCCTAAAGTGCGAGAGATTTGAGCTGAGGCAGATTCAATTGCTCCGTCGCAGCTGCGGCGGGCAGTGTTTCCACTCGAGCGCCTGCACCTCTTCGGGGAGGTGCTTGTGTACCAAGAGCATGAAAAGCAGTGCCCCCCCGCTTTGGCTGCATCAGGCCTTCAGTGCAGACTACATGGACCGCGAGTTCAGGGAGCTTTGCTCTAGCTGTGACCGCAGCCAGGCGACCGAACCATGCGGCATGTAGCAATATACAGCAGTCAGTGCGCTCATATCCTCTCATTGTACTTCTGTCCTACGGCAGGATGGCCGGCTAACCTTCGTCGACGTTCAGACAGCACAGCACCAGGTTTCCAAGCGACTTGAGGCAATGCACAGAACTGTGCCGCGATGAAGTGGAGGGAACCCACTCTTTCGGAGGACTTCCGCCGTGCGCTGGAGCAGCGCAACGCGAACTGGTGGGTGGGGTCCTTGGTGCAGCTTGGAGTGCGGCTGGGCCTGCAGCTGGGCCTGTCCTGGCCTCGATCTCTGCATCTGAGCTGTGCTGTGCGCCATGTGCTCTGCCAGGTGCACGGTGTCCAAACCGTGGGCTCTTCCTTGCAGTCCCTCGGGACAGCCTCCTGGGACTGGGCAAAGTGCCTTGGCAGAAAGACTTGAATTGAACTAGTCGGTGGGTGTGATTCGCATCTCATGGCCGAGGTATGCAGCAGAGCTAGATCCACAGCAGAAGGCAAGAGACTGTTTCGAGTCGTTACAGATGAAGAGATGTAGCGAGTATCTCCTGGCACTTGCGCAGGTGTCGATGCTGCACAAAGCCTTGGACATGACAAAGCAAGCTCATGCTGGACAGGCACTTGTGTTCCAGTGACTGGTGATTGTGAGGATTTTATGGTCCTAGTCAGCTTGACAGAGCAGTATTCTGTCCCAAGCCTGTCGTGCGTGGTACGTGTCTGCGTCGTGTCGAGAGGCAATGAACGTGCTCAGCTGCTCGCACTGTGGGGCAGGTTCGGAAATCTGGCGACCCGTACTGGACACATCCACTTGCAGTCGCAGACATTCTTGACGGCGCCTTACTTTTGAAAGCAGCCCTTCATTTTCACTGCAACTTGAGCGTGCCTGCTTTCTAAAGTTGAGGCACGTGCTTTGCTACCACCGGACTCCACACCACCAGAGCCACGCTGGCAGCTAGATGGTCCGGCTGCCCTGGAACAGGACTGTGCTAGAAAGGGCGATGGTACGCAAGAGTAGCGATGCTTGATGCTGCACATGACGCACAGTACTTCTGCTAGGATGCTCAAAAGCTTTGGCCACGAGTCGCAGATGGTCCTGATGACATCTTCGCAATGTGCGCTACTTCAGCTACACTACTTCTTCCTGGAATAGGTGTTTTTCCTTGCCTGCAGCAAGTGCAGGTACACTGCTGCGCTGCTGCACGACACGGTCGAAGCGACCTCGGCATGCTTGTTCAAGTCGTTGCGCTGTGCTGCGGCTGCAATTTTTTTAAATATCGGCGGGACACAATGAGCTCAGAGCTCGAATCAAATCAGTCGGAAGAATCACACCTCACTTGGCTCCTTCTCCCACGCCAGGCCGAACTTGTTTGTCAATGCGAGCCAGTTGCCTCCAGGGTTAGCCCAGACTGAGCGTCTGCCACAACCGCTCGATGCCCCTGCTGAGACCACATCGCTTGCTTGGCGAATTTACATAAGCTGGCAAAGCCGCTGCTGGCAGAATGAAGTTCGACCGTGTAGCCTGCTCGTCGGGCACTTGTTTGGAAGTACTTGGAGGTCACTAAACCACCATGGCAGAAGATGGCAGGACACGAGCGTCACACTGGACCAGATTGAGGCAAGGAGGACAAGTTTAGGTCACGTATCTACTTGCCTAGGGCATGAGGCTGACAGCAATGGTACAGTTGGCGTGACTGGCTCACAAAGCCAAAGCATGGAGTAGACACAGATACGACCACTTCGACTCAGGATGCCTTTGGTCCAGTCGTCGCATCACTGGTGGACGGTGTGACCAAGGCCATGCTTCGGCAGAGTAGAATGTCAAACGTCACACAAGTCACCCGCGTCACATGTCCACATCCGGGATGGCTTGAGGGAGCATGAAAATGAAAATGCAGGCATCCCAAGCTTCATGTACGAGATCGAGAGCGTCGCGATCTGCTCAGGATCTGCGCAAGGTGCACGAATGTGCACGTCCAGTACTGAGCGCTGCAAGTGAGCAGGCCCAAGGAGCCTCAATGGTTTTCGGCTTTACAAGCTCGACTACTGCATGGGCCCAGGGTACTTCTGTCGAATGCACCGTGACGAGTGACAGGTGCTGACACGCGCTGCCCAAGACGTTCGAGTACTCGTCATCAAGTTTGCAGACCGTCTGCACAACATGCGGACGCTGGAGACCCGTTCGTGTCGCTTCGCATGGCCACTTCATGTCTCTAGACCGGCCGCATTGCCAAGCATTTTGGCTAGAATGTTTTTTCGATAAATGCAGTGCTGAACTTCGAAGCTGTTGGAGTTGAGTTACAAGGAGCACATGCCGGCTTCCAAGCAGCGTCGAATCGTCTGTCTCTGAGTGCCCCATGCCGTGGGCAGAAATCAGCATGTGAGGAACCAAGGTTTCTGTGATGCCTGCGGCTTGCGGCAGGCTGAAGAGACCAGAGCGGTGTACGTGCCGCTGGCAGAGCGATTGGGTGTGCACATTTGGAAGACCGAGTTTGAGGAGCTGTTTCGGAGACTGCCACTGCTCTGACAGTCGTGCACTGGGCATCAAGTTGCCGTCATCATAAATCTGGTTCAGCAGGAAAGTGTTGATGGTGTTTTGATTTCGATATTCAGGGTCCAAATGGCTTGCAGGTTGCAATCCGGGACACACTGTTGACGATGGACAGTGATGGACAGTGTATTAGAAAGCTTGGTCGAGCCGTGTTCGACGTGCACCTGTGCTGTGGGCTCGGGCCAGAAAGCCCTCCGGTACCCGTCCACGTCCAAAACATCAGCTTCCCGAGCCTAATCCTTCGGCGGAATTCTGGTCAAGACTGCTGTCTTGTGTCGATGCGTAGGTCAACTGTCGCTCCGGATCATTGACGGTTTTGTGGTGTTTGACGGAAGGGGGGAAGGGGGAGCAGGAGGAGGGGAAGCGGGTCAGCAGAAAAGCGAGGCGGCTTTATCAAAGCCAAAATGTGGAGAGAGTCTCCACATGATCAGACGCCAAGAGGGCCGGACAAACTTACAAGATGCCGACGCCGATTGAATTCCGACAAGTGCATGAGGAGTTGGTGATGCTGTCTCGCACCCACCCTGTATGTCGTTTCGAGTGTACGATATGCCATGCACGAGTGCAGCCTCTGAGAACTCTGCAGGAGCTGTGCTGCCGATATCTGAATGGTTGCGCATATGAGGCGGGAACAGACAGCCACAATGGCAGAGCCACATGTGAGCAGAGAATGTGAGATGTGAGAGCAGGAAGTTTTAGAGCGCAACCGGCGCTCGCAGGCTCCTCCAGGTCACACGCATCTTGAACGAAAAAACTTGTGCCCTTCACTGCAGGTTGCCAGGCAAAGACACCGCCGGTACATTCAGCAGTACATCCGAACCATGATGGCCATGGCCTTCCTGCTGGTGGGTTGCATGCTCGCTGCTCTTGCAGTAGCATGCCTCATTGTCTCGACCCCTTGCTGAGGTGGAGATGACCTCCGATTCCATCCTTGAGATTTCCGTACGTGAGGTGCGAACACCGAGAAAGACACGGTGAAAGTTCGTCGATGTAGTAATGACCAATGTTGAAGCAAGTGGAGGAGCCACCGCACACACAACTGCGGCGATGGGCAGACCGTCCAGAAACGGATACTCCACAGCCAATCCCACGAGTGCGGATAGTGACAAAGGCTCGGGAGTGAAGGCAACGGTTGCGCGAGGGCTGCTTTTGGACGATGTTGGAAGGATCGCGACGCTTGTTGGGCTTGTCTCGGGCGGATCCACTCCATCTTGCCGCCGATGCACGGCGCTCTGTGGGCGACAGGGCGATGTGCTTTCGGCTGCCGTCTCAGGCCCGGCCGGCTGCGCGACTACATCTCCTCACCGAAGGTGGGAGCTTCATTGATCGAGCAGCACCGCACAGCAGCACGGCATTAGCTACCGCAGTGAACAGGAGAATTTGTACATGTGCCTCCACACTACCGTTCTCATGGACGGCACTGCAGTTGAGGCAGGGCACACGTCGCTGTAGGCGCTAACTCGGAGATCAACAAACCGCAAGCAGCTGGAAGCATCAGCAGGCTGAACTCGACCGCAATGCCAGGTCTACATTTTGAGCCTGCAGATGGAGTGGGTCGCCGAGTTTGGTGTCGGCGCATTTTGGCGCCACAACGAGGCCGTGATTTTGCTGGCAGTAACGCACAGCACGGACGACGCTCGAGAGAGCCGTGAGGACCTGCAGGAAAGTGAAGCCGGTAGAAGCTTCTTGGCGGCCCTGCATTCAACCTGGATTTTGCAGGTGCGGTCTCTGAGTGTCGTCTATAGCTGTAGATGCTTGCCGTTCACCCCTGCAGGCCAACCAGTCGCTCACACACAGCCTGCACTCGTTGGAGGTGCACAGTCTGAAGTCGGGAAGCAGTGAGCCGGAAATTGAGGAAATGCCAAAGTCTCCGAACAGTTCTGTAGTAATTCTCAGGAGGTCCCTAGTTTGGACCCCAATCTCAAGACCTGCGAAACTTGCGGCACGCTTGAATCTACCGCTGCTGCTGCTGCTGCTGCTGATCCACAACTACGATCTAGTACGACGACTATTACTACTGCTACTACAACTAGCCATGCATGGGTGCTTTACTTCTTCTTGTCCATGGCTGGCGTACGTACGGCGTTATGTTTGTCATTATCACCCTCCCCCACCCCCCCCTCCCACCCACAGCAAGAACAGTGTTAAGGAGAGGTGCTTGGAAGGGGGCGCCTACTACTACTACTACTACTACTACTACTACTACTACTACTACTACTACTACTACTACTACTACTACTACTACTACTACTACAACTACTACTCCTGCTACTGCCACTGCCACCACTACGACCGCTATCACCACCAACACCACCACGACGACGACTACTGCTGCTGCTATCCTGGCCAAGCAATACCGCAGTATTACATATGCTAGCTGTTAGTGACCATGCGGTGGTTCGGGAAGATCTTGCAGCATGCCTTCCGATTCATTCTACAGCTATTCTACAGGTCGTGAGCTTTGGAGAGGTGCTGACTTGATGGAGATAGCAGAGATACATATAACATGCAAGGATGAAGTACACCACGCACTCCTAGATTTTCGAGTTGCACAGGTGTCCATGGAGCCATCGCCATTGCCGACATCGAAATCAACTTCAAGTCTTCAAACTGTGGAGAGCGCAGCGAGCCAACCAAAGTGGAATTTTCAAGACTCCGACGGAACTCCTCCACTCCAAATGCCTGGCATGAGCACAAACAGTGAGCCTCGCAGCTCACTGTTGGACCGCTCACCTCAGCGCCTTGACTTGGATCGTGGTTCCTTTGACGAGGGCACCCGGGAAGCATCTGTGCCGTCCCCAGTCCTGCACCCCCGACGTTGCAGTGGGATCTGCTATGCTGCGATGCTTTGCACTTCCAGGTTGATGAACCAGGTGCTGCGGAGCAAGAAGATGGACTGTGCGCCGCGATCTGGGATCTGGATCAAGTGGTCCATTGCCTGGCGATCTTGTCAGGTACGCGGTTCAACCACTGTTGGCCTGGCACGGTTGCACGAACCAGTGAGACTCTAGCACTGGCAGTTTTGGTCAATGGCTCCGGGTGTCAGGCTGCAGCATATTTCGAAAGTGGCTTCCGAGTTTGCCGGTAGCACAGGCAGGCTTTGCATGATGGCACGTCTGGGGAATGCCGTGAGTCGGACAGCCCTTTCATCAGGAAACAAAGAACGAGATGATGGTGAGGCAACTGGTTGTTTGCGGATCCTGCCAGGTCCTGGCCATGCAATCCATCCCATGCATGTGCACGGCTGGGTGTTGCTACTTGGTAAGTACGGCTACAACGGGCTCTCAAGCAAGATTGAAACACGTGGGATGTCAGGGAATGCGGGTACAGGGGTTCAATCCGCAACTGTCGGTCTGTTTGCAGGCCAGAGCTTGCTTTTCGTTTCTTCTGCTGCAGGGAGAGAGCCGGTTTGAGACGGTGCCGAAAATGTGTACATTGGCTTAGTCGGCAGCTGAACAGAACGGACCCTGTAAAACGACACAGGACGCACCAAAGACGATACCTCGTACAATCCCTGCAAACACTGGAAAACGACATGGGATGCCCAAACGGCCGCGCAAATAGCTTGACGCAGTGCACCTCGAGGCCAAGACCAAGACAGAGCAAAGCCGTCATGGGAAAAGCACGATCCTGCGCGGGCTCCTCCTGGTTTCCTCTGATGTTGTGGAAGGATGGTGGCGAGCTGCTGGCAGAGTTGCATCGTGCCTACAGTGAGGCGTTTGGAATATTTGAACACGAGACTTCGATGCCGGGTGTTCTCCTTGTTCTGGGCAGGCCTTGCGTGAGAAAGTCGCGGTCTTCACTCCGACAGGCTTGTGAAAGCAGTTTTTCAGTCTGTATACCAGCAGACGCAGAATAGCTTTCGATCGCCAAGCAGGCCGAGTGCTGTACCTTCCCAGGGATGCGACTCCTCTGGATTTTGCAGTGTGGAATCTCGGTGCCAAGAAGGCTTCGTGCCAGCAGGAGTGTAAGGTTTGCTCGAGTGCAGAAGTCCGCTACGGCCCGTTACCGCAGGCAAATGGTTCCAATCAACGTGTATTGCAGTAAATATCTCGCCTGCAGGGCCTGCGAGCAGAGGCGGCTTTCATTGACAGCAGCGAGGCGACATTAAACACGAGGCTGCGAGAGGCGCCAGCACTATGCCCGTGCTGAGCTTCTTGGACCGGCAGGAGTCGGGAACCCGCACTGCCTGTATGTGCCTGTCACAGGGTCAGACCGTCCTCGTGCACTTGCACGATGACGAAAAGCTGCTGCCGCCGCTTGAATGGTCTGGTGTCCATCTCAGGCCTCGATCTTTAAGTCGTATTTCGCTTTCCGCTGAGCGATAGGCTTGCTGCTGTCGCGCCTCCAACCACGCTACATATGCTGTTCGTAGCTTGAGCTGTCTCGTTTCACTTTGCAGGTATTTGCGTACAACGCGTGCTCGAGCAGCCCTCGTAGACATGAGGACTTCGAATCGGGGTCTCTGGGTTCCGCGGCCAGGAAGTTTCTGTCCCGACCCAAACACATGCAGGACTCAAATGCTGTCAGAGCAGCAGGCAGTTGAAGCAGGACTGTGATTTTTGGAAGCAAGTACGGAGCGCAAAATAACGCAACACAAGATGCGAAGAAACTTGAAAGGACGGGAGGCAATCCGGAAGGAGTTGGCACTACACAGCCGCCTGCTCAGCCTGAAGCCGTCACTTAAGCCTTCACGTGGCCGCCTGGATCTCGACACTTCAAGGTCTCGACCTGTCCCTGCGGCAGCTGGGAGACGAGGTGCTCGCGGCCGTAGGTGCGGCTACGTGTCATATATCCACAGAGAGCGACAGCAAGAGCGGTGAAATAGTGTTTCAGATCGGTAAATCTAAGTGGTTGGTCCAGTTTGTCCGAGCAAGATGCTACTTAGCCCGAAGTCGCATGGAGAGTAACTAGCCTACGACGCGTTCAGATTGGAAGGTTTTTGTGTTGCATGCTTCTTCAGATTCCATCGAGAGGTCCCTAAACAAACCAGAAGCATTGGACTACAGATCGCGAGAAGTCGGTGCAGATTGGCGCATGCGTGGTGTGTGTGTGTGTCCATCCCTGTTTCGAAGGGTAGGTAAATCTGGCTTGATTGAGCAGGGGGCAGTGACAGAGTCTGTGGGATCACTGCCAACGAAGACGCCCGCAGTCTCTGGTGATGCATCAGGAGACGTCCTGATGTGTACCTGCTATGCTTGTGACACAGTGCATCTTGTTAGCTGTACACTGGTTGTGATCTTAACACTTGTACTTGCAGTGCAGAGTGACTTTCCCTGATTTTACCTGACAGCTTTCGGCTAGATGAACTGACTGTTCAGACCTGCGACACGATGTGTCAAGTGTGCTTCACAACGGCATTCCCTATGGGCGCCGTGTCTCCCAGAGGTAGCTCTGGCGTTGACTTTCCCGATTGACTGTATAAGCATTGGATGACTTTCCCTGATTCTATATCCGTGCTTGCAAGCTGACTTTCTCAGTGAGTCTTTATCAAATGCCTGTACCGAAACCTGAATGCTGACTTTCCCATTGACTGTCTATGATCTGATCGACTTTCCCGAATCTGACTTTTCCGCTGACTTGTCGCAGGTCTTCGGCTACAAATTGAGTACTTGAGCTGTACTTTGGGGTAGTCGCTGATCAGTTTGCCATGGATGCTTCAGGAAAGAGACGCAGTACCCGCACATCAACCCCCCCCCTCCTCCCCCACCTCTCCCTCCACCCTCCTCTTCCCCCCTTCCCCCTTTGCCCCCCCCTCCCCTCCCCGCTTCTGCCCCTCCCCCCTCCCGTGGTACCACAGCGAAGTGGATTCCACCCCCCCCCTCCCCTTCCCCCTCCCGCCTTCCCTCCCCCACCCCCCACCCTTGCAGTTTGCCCGGCGCCCGCTTCATCTTCTTCTTTGCCGGCTCCTTCTGCATCCAACGTTGGTTTGGGAACAGCAGATGTAACTCCTACCTTGATTGCTGCACGTGCTGTAAATGATCGGCCTGTTCCACAGCAAGAGGTTCCACCAGCAATCACTCTTCATGCAGATGGCGCAGGGTTCCGGTTGTCGTTTCGTTCGGTGGCTGATTTTGCTGAATACTCAGCGATCATGTCGGCAAACTTGACACATGTCCGAGGCCACAGAGATGTGTATGCTGGCCTTAACAATTTGCTCGACATTCAGCAGTCTGTTGTTTCTCAACAGAATCAGTCAACAGCATCTGGTCAGAGCCAGCAGTCAGCCATCACGTATCAAACGGATGACTCATCCCAGCCATCAAAGCGACTTCGGCAGGTTCATGGAAGCGGAGTTTCTCTCGTTGCAGATCCTAACAGCATTCGACTACGTGCAATTTGTGATCAGAATCCTGGTACTCATGCAGATCGCGTAGGGTGGCAGCTCAGTGCGGACCAGACTTACGTCTTTCGAGTTAAACCCTTGCAAGACTCGTATGAGCATTTTGAGAATCGATCTCTTCTCAAAGGGCATGTGGAAGTTGAGTGGGAGCAAGATTCAAACTTCTTCGTGATTCCTGAACTTCGTGGGTTGGAAGTGCGCGATGAAGAAGCGAAGCTGATACGTGTGTACTCAGCTAGCTTCAATTGGGTCGCATTATACCCCATGTTTACTGCTCTACGTCACTTGATCAGTTCCAGCCCTGGCCGTATGAAATCGGCATGTGAGATTTCGAGAAAGATACAGGCCAATCTTGAGTTGCAGGTTCCCAGCTCTTTGATGCAAAGCACTGCGGACTATCTGATCAGCCTGTTAGGTCTTCCTCCCCACTCTGTCAATTCGACGGCACTGAAGTATGTCTCTCAGGCAATTGCAGCAGCTGACCAAGCTGCAAACATTCACTCTGTGGAGCTTCGTTCTTTGTCGAGTTCGTGCAAGTGCTTGAGCATCCACTTCACCCACTTTGAGAGGACCATGATCAGGTCGCATACTTCTGCAGCAGGGATTGCTCGTTCGCCTGTTGCACACAACACAACAGTGGCAGCGGCTGCATCCATCCTCCTTGAGGGAACGATCCGACCATCGTATTGGGATGCTAGTGACAGCAAGTGGTCCCCACCAATTTCCTTCTATGCTAGGGCTCACACTTCAGATGCAGAACAAGCACAAGAGGCAGCGGCCAAGTACGGTGGCATTCTGAGTGAGCGTCCGGTGTGCATTTTCGGACATGCATTTAATCGTCAAGGATCCCTCACGCCTCCCCACTCAAGGATCCCCATGGGAGGGGTTGAAGGTGACCATTCCTGCAGTTACATTCGTGACGTTGCCCGTGCCAAAGATGGCAGATGGGTCTTTCGCTCTTCATGTTTCATCCCGGAAGCGCTTCTTGTTTTTTGGAGGGTCTGAGTGCAGCATGCTGCTTTGACCAGCCACGTTCTCAAGTCTCTTCCGTTGTCAACTGCTTTGCACGCATACATGTGTTGAAAACATGCCAGTTAAGATTGCGAGCTGTGCCAGCAAGGGATGTGCAAGTGTGTTGCAAGGGACGTGCAAGTGTACTGCAAGTGAAGTGTCAGCGGTAGTGCAAGGGTGTGCGTCGGAAGTGCAAGAGAGGAGCAAGTGTGATGCAAGAGTTGTGCAAGCGATGTGCAAGTGCTGCAGTTTGGGAACAACTTGAGCAGGTTTGTTCAACTACGGAGCCTTTTGATTCGAAGTGTCTTTAGCGATCCCGTGCACTCAGATTTGTCGATAGTTCTGAAACCATGGCATGGAATGGACAGTGGGACACCAACACAGGGTACGGGAGGTCCCAACAATCGTGGGGTCAGCATCGCTATCAGCCGTATAGCTCGGGAAGTTGGACTGATCCCAACCTCTCCAATTCTGCCCCTGCTAGTCAGCCACCTCCCCTACCTCCGCCTCCACTTTCTTCGGCACCTTCATCATCGCCGTCCACTCCCATGCCACTTCATCAAGGTCCTGGTCTTGTTCCTGCACTACCGAATGGATGGGCGTCAGATCGTGATCATTATGACTCAACGGTGCTTCATGGGTTGTCCTTTCGTAAGTCCATCGAAGCCACCCCGTGGTCGCGAAAGAAAGGGATCGCAGGAAAAGATCCACTCAGCATTCCTGTTCAGGAATTCCTGTTTCATGGAGTTTCAGATTGGCGTCTTCGAGCATTGAGTCATGGCAAGTTTTTCAGTGTTGTGCCAGTTGCTACGGTTGCTGAAGCAGTGTTCATGTCGCAAGTGACGAAGAACCTTCGAGATCGCAAAGTTGACATCGATGCAGTTGCTACGCAACTCTTTCAGGCCGCTAATCCATCTACAATCATTCCCAACAAGAACACGGATTGTGCAGCTCTGTTTCAGCCGCTGGTTGACAAGATCGTTCAGCTCATGTTTGACAACATGCCGGTGCCTACAGGCGTCGACCAATCTCAGAAGTTCCTTCAAGTTTCGGAAGAGCTCAATCGCCGTCGTGAACAGTTACAAGCCGCAGGACTTCCCGTTACCCCCACGAAACCCGCTTTGAAAACACAGCTCCCGGTTGCCTCGCAATCTAGTGCTCCGTGTCTACAATCCGGGACACCACCGAAGACTTGGGAGAGTGACCTCAAGCGTAAGATCGACAGTGTTCCTGCCGAAGCCCTGAACGATCACAAAGCCCGACTAAAGGGATCAGGAGAGGGGGACGTCGACAAGTGGATCCAGAGCTTCAAACGACCCTTAGGCAAGCGTTTTGCCGAATTTCAAGAGCACATTGTGTCTGTCTCCAAGCTTGTGCAGATCAACTATGGAGGCAAGGAAAAAGCCAAACTGCAAGAACTTGCAGTCAAATTCGGGATCTCGGCGACTTTTGCATCTAGGATGGGCATCAAGAGTCTCTCTACGTGCATTGCAGCGGCAGCTTTTCAAGTTGTCTGAATTGCACACAGCCTTGCTTCCAAGCAACTCTCCGTAAAGGAGATTCGGTCAGCTCATGTTCTTATTACAGAGATTGGCAAGTTCATGTCGTTTGTGCTTCAATTCATTCCGCATGTGGACAAAGTGATGGCCATTTGGTTGCAAGGTTTTTGTCATCTGATTCTACTGTTCCATTACTCCAGGGGTACTTCGCCAGAACAACGGCTGCTTGAAAAATTGCGCAAAGCTGGAGTCACGCTGTCTGAATACACGTTCACACGGTTCCAGAGTCCTTGTGCAGTTTATTTGAAAGCCCCCGTGTCTTGGAGTACGCGTTCATCGTTCAAGCAAAGAGACCGATGGATGTATGTGGGAAGTACCTCAATTACTATTTCGAAGCGTGAATTCAACCGGCAGTCCAAACTCAAGCAAGTTCTTCGTGAGCAATATGTTCAAGTTGAACCGGCCATTCGTATTTGGGCTTCGCTGGGCAGTTATTTCGACTTTTCTACACTTTGTCTGTCTGTTCATGATGACTACAAACAAGCGTGGGTGCAAGAGCATGTCCTTATTGATCGGTGGCAGCCCAGATTGAATTCACCGTTCATTGAACGTTTCTTCATTAAGTCAGCATTGGGATTCAAGAGACTCAGGCCACGTCCATCTCTTAAGAATGTTTCATTGTTTTCCAGACTTTGGGTCAAAGTTCGAAGACGTGCTGCTTCAACAAGTACTCCGACTCGATGTTTGATGGATAAAAGCCAAGCGTGGTCGCTCTTGTACGATTTGGCATCGTTGACCTCGGCATCTTTCTCTGCTGCGAAAATTGTCAGATCTGCCAAAGTCTCGACGTTAGAGTTGTACGCGATGTTCCGCATGGCCAAGATCATGGAGCAACCTTTCAGATCTAGAGTGGTACAGCTGCTCAAGTCTGCGTTGAAGTTTCGTAACTGCTCTGTACCCCGACACAACAAGTCAGTCACTTTACCGTTTCTGTCTCACCCCTCTTTTGCTGCCCATGTCTCATCTTTTCTGTCTCATACCATTCAGCAGTTCAAAGGCAT